CGATCAATCATTTTTTGGATCTTATCGAGTTTGTTTATTCCAATCTGGTGTGCAACCTGTTCAATTAAATAACCCCTATGTAAGATTTTTATCAAGTAGGAATCTGCCGATACGACCAACGTTACAAACAATGTGGTACACCTTGAAACTTTTCAGCATATATATTAAGGTAACTATGTAAAATTGTATACATTATTAAATAACAACCTTCAATTTTTTATTACTTATATGTATCGGTTATTCGTAATTTGTATTGTACTATGAACTTACTATCAATTCCACTCAAGATTTTTTATCAAGGTAAATTTAGATTAAAATGATTTTATTTCATTAAACATTTATATTGTTGTTGTTTTGGTAATTGTTAGTTATTTCGTATGACCACTGTACAAAATATGTAGGTTACTCGCATTGTATTGGATACATGTGTTATGGCGGTTGTTATCAAACGCAATAACAATAATTGTTTGGATCAGATTAAGAATTTGAATTAATTGTTCCTTATGGTTGTATAAGTTTGGGACCAACGATGTATTCACTCTTTGTGTACGGAAAAAAAACCTTCGATTGTTAACTTTTCCACTTATTTTGGCTTAGTTGATCCCTTACACCATACGAAATAGTTTTTTATTAAATATTTTTCTAATACTTTGTATTGCATATCAACCATTTATCTTACTATTTCAAGAACTTTTTTAATATCAAATATTTGTTAGAACTCAATGCCCCGTGCATCGCACGGGTGAAATACTAGTTCTACCTTAAAATATTATATGGAAGATAGATAGATTAATGTCCTTTTTCCGTATAAAAAAATTTGAAGTGCTTATTATTGCAATAAAATATGGGCCCATGTCCTTATTGCAATTAACCCTTAGATAAACGACGCCCAACAACAAAAGAATTCGATTATTTATCTGTTCTTCCTTGCCGCTAGGACTACTAAGTTCTCTTCTTCGCTTAGCCTCTCCGCCTCTGCTTGTGAAGCCCGCCTCCTGCTCGCTCTATCTCAATTTGTTTTCTTATTCTTTCAGGCAAAGCAACTTCCTGAATTGATTATTCTTCTCCATCCGGGTAATTTGTTTAACAAATTAGAGATGTTTTCCTCGGAAATCGTTAGATTTACTAGATTGATGTGGAAATTTCCGAAAAAAAACTTAAGATTACGAAAAATTGCGAATTTCTGATTTTTATGTGGAATCATATGTTTTTTTTTTTTTTTTTTTAAATTCCGATTCGTCAATTTCCACCTTAGTATAAACCTTAAACCAAATTTCTAACCTAAAACATGAAACATCTAAAACTTGAAAAAATAATTTTGAAATCCTAAACTTATAACTCTAACCTATGTGTAACCCTTTACTAGATTTTGGACATTGGAGACGCCCAGCGCTATAAACATCTGCGCACATCTCAAAAACCTTGATTTTGAAATGGATAAGTTTATGCGATTGTTTAGAAATTAGGCAATTGCAAAATGTCCTCTATCCGATAGATATGACACTTGCTAGATTTGTTGTTGCTTTATATATTTTAGTACTCGTAACTGAAGTTCTTGTTGCTCCAGAAATGAATGCGCCGTCTCCAAATGATTACGAGTATAACGACGAAGAGACTTTTCTCGACGAAAGTGATATAATTAACGAGTATGATGTTGATGTAGAAGGTATGTATGAAGTAAAAAGAAGTTTGTGAGACATATGTTGCAAGTTATTATTTTTCCTGTAGCTATTAAAGATTGTTTTTAGGGTAAAATTCATTTTGCACCCCTGTACTATGTGAAAGGTATCATTTACCCCTGATGTATAGAAAACATCAAACACCCCCCTATTTTTAATTGTCAATGGTCAAACTTTTAATGGTGTTAAATTTGAGTGTGCAATGACTCTTTTACCCTACTTTATGCCGATATAATCCCTAATTCTTTGACGCGTATTTTTTGTGATTGTTGACGATTTTTAGCGTTCGTTCAAATTATGGCTTTTTTCCAATTTTAGTATTTGATTTTAGGGATTTTCAGTTTTCTTTTTCGGGGGATTTTTCCATTATAATATGAAAAACTTTGTTTTTTATTTGCAACTCTTGCATATGGTTTTATTCCAATTTTAGGGTTTCTTTAGATTTCAGGGATTTTAGTTTTCTTTTTTGTGGGTTTCACATTCATAATCTGCAAAGCTTCATTCTTATTTATTCGACTTTTTAGTTCTGTTATAAGAAAAATCGCTGAAAATAGTATAAAAAATGACTGAATAAAGTGAAAAACTGTTCCGACAAAAGTGAAAAAACTGGTGAACATTTGTCAAAACTAAGCAACTTATATAAAGGGATTGACTAACGGAAATTAGGAAAAAGGCTAACAGCAGGGGGTGTTTGATGTTTTCTATACTCTAGGGGGGGTAAATTATACATTTCGCATATTACAGGGTGCAAAATGAATCTTACCCTTGTATTTATGATGATTGTGCAAACATGGGTTGTCATGCCTAGTTTGAGCCATTTTATTGAACCCAGTTAATTTATGATCCGACGATTAGTTTATGAGCCGAGTTTGAGCTTCATGTGGCTCAACCCGAGTTAAGCTCTCCCGACTAACTTAACAATTAAATATATATATTGTATTGTATGACTAAACATACAATTTGCAAGATAATTTTATCTTGAAAAAAAGAAGTCAAGAAATAAATTTAACAAATGGTGACGGTGAGAAATATGAGAATTAAGTTAGATAAGCCATAATTGATGAAATTTATCACTCAGAATATAAAATGTTTATACAATAAAACATACATTAGCTTTTTACTTTTTTCACTTTGTTCATTCATGTTTTCAAGTTTTTCTAATAACTTGCGGAAAATCATTTAGGGTTTCTTTAGATATGACTTCAATGGGATATTAGATAAACTTGAGTTGTTTGTGTAAATTTTTCATTTCTTTTGCTGCAACTGTCAAGTGTGTAATTTACGTATCGCTCTATGTAAGCCCGATCTAAACCAGAAAGGCCGAAACCTAAAAAACTAAATGAGCCGAGCTTGAACCTATAATCATGAAGCCCGATGGTATTTAAGCTTGTGCTTAAAGTTTCGAACCTTGATGATGTTTGAGCTTGAGCAAACCCAAGTTCCGCTCACATGGCCCGATTGCTAACCCTACTTGTAATTGATGCACATATTCTAAGGAATCTAACTTATAATTACAAACTTGTATTGTGTAAAAGTATTAATTTGGTTTCATTTACCATCAATTGGAGATGGGGGAGGGAGCTGACGGGTTCTAACAGTATATGCCATGTAGTTTCCTCTAGAGTTTGTACTATTTTGCTGCAATACCTATTCAGAATGTATGTCTTTTGTTTATTGATTTATCTTTATTTTTGCTTCAGAACTCCCAGATGCAGATGAGGAAGGTGACTCTCATGGAGATGATGATGGAGATGATGATTCTGGTGTGTTCATGTTAATTACGTTTTCTTTTACCAGTCATACTCGGACATAGTATTTCTACTTTTTTGATTTAATCCGTGTGTATAATATAAATACGATAACACAATATTCATTAGTGATTTCAATATGGAACTTTTTTATTTAGTCAAATCCTTCATGATCTTTAAGAATAAGAACATGCAAGATATAGAACTCTTCGGCATTTGTTAGAAATTGTAATAAGCTAATTAAAATATTGGATTTTTCAAGATGAATATAAAAGGGTTATTTTTACCATTGTGAATTGTGTTGTTAACATCAAGTTTTGTTCTCTTGATGATATGTCATACAATATGCCAAAGTCATCTGTGATACCCATCTCATTTAATATAATAAATATTAAAGGGTAAATTACACCCACACCCCTGAGGTATACTTCAATAGTTTTAAGGTCCCTATGGTATCGATAATTACACTCACCCCCCTGAAACGTAGTTAGAAACTCTAACGGGATAATGCATTGGATACAATATTCCGATAGGGTTCTAATGGACTATTACTTTTAGCTAGTGGTGGAGATAACATAGAGTTATGGGGAGTTTTGGGGTGACATGGCTCCCCCAATATTTCTTAAATCATCCATAACTCTTTGTTGTCTCCACCACTTCCTGAAACCAATAGTCCGTTAGAACTCTATCGTAATAACGTATTCAATGCATTTTCCCATTAGAGTTTATAACTACGTTTCAAGGGGGTGGGTGTAATTATCGATACCGCAGGGACCTTAAAGTTATTTAAGCTTACCTCAGGGGTGTAGGTGTAATTTACCCAATATTAAAATTAAAGAGGTGAATGGTGGACGACTTATATTGATGGATATCAATTGTTGTAAGCATGAAGATTTGAAGTGTTTAGTGCATGTGTTATAGTTTAAGTGGTCAAATAATATACCATATACTGATTCTTGTTTCTGATAAAAAAAATATATACTGATTCTTGATGAAGCATATTGGTTCTGAGCATAGTTGTTTCTCAACCACCGTGGTTGGTGTAACTGTATTCAATTATGCATTTAATTTTACCATATTAACTTTTGATGGTTGCAGAAGGGGTTGATCATTCAATACATATATTTACTGGTCATACAGGTTAGCCATTTTATTGCAGTTTCCAAGCTGATATTTCCATCGTGGTATTCTTCTTATTATAAAAGCTTGAATATTGTTGTTTGTTTATCTGTGTTGATCCCGTTCATCGACATTGAGTTAGGTGTTATTGGAGGAAAAGAAATACAAATAGAGTTGTATATTTTAATGCTTTAATGTGGAACCAAGGGAGAGATAAGCACTGGTTTATATTTGATGGTTTTAACTCATTCATCATTTTACTGGTTTCATCAACTTGTATTTTGGAATTGCGTTGATGTCGTTTCATGTAGCATGTTGGTGATTTTTTATTAATTCTTTTTTTTTCCCGCTGATTAGCATGATCTTTATTCCGCTCAATACTTGTTTTTTCTGAGTCGGTTAACATTTTATGTTTCTTATGACTTATTGTGAAAGCTACATATGATAATTGATAACAATATGAATTCACTTCACCAGATGGTGCACAATGTTTTTTTTAGGAATTACATTGATAGTACTAGATTTCCTGTGTCCTTTGCAACTGATTTACGTGCTGAATCGTGATCCTATATAAAATATTGTAAATGGAAGATTGTCCTAGAATACCAATTTGTAGAAATGCATGTAGATACTACAGTATTACATACATATTCTTGTGTGTGGATGACAGCATTACTTCGATACTGGGAAGATATGGTATCTTGACCAAGTGTAGAAGCAACTTACTGTTTCTTGGTCATGCATTCTTATCTTTTTTTGTATTTGAATGATACTGATGTTAATAGGTCTATTCACATTTTAATTCCAGCTTTAAAGTGCTAGAAATGATGCTTAAAGAGTTGATTTCTTTCATCTAGGTGAACTATACACTGCTGTCTGTAGTCCAACAAATGCTGCATTAGTGGCAACTGGAGGTGGAGATGATAAAGGATTCCTGTGGAAGATTAGTCATGGAGACTGGGCTTTTGAGTTGCAAGGTATTGAACTGGCCCATTTTAAATAGTTTTTTGAAAAGAAAAAAAAGTTAATTCTAATTCTTGATCAAACTTTTGATTCATAACATCATTTACACGTGTATATGATTCCAACAATCAGAGTATTTCATCATCTTTTGGAATAAGAATGCAGGTGGAGAATAAGTTAAGTCCTTTGTTTCTTAAAGAATAGTTAGGTCACAAGACCTGTATAACTTGAAAGTTGAATGACCTGTATACCTTACTAAGTTACATTAGTAAGGTATGAACCTGTTACTGTGCTAAAGCACTAATCATGTATACAACTATATATAGACTCCAAGAAAAATATACAACACGTTTCGCTTATTAAATGATTCTACTTCAATATTTCACCCACATTTGAATACATTTATTTACGTCTTGTATCTTCTCAAACATCTTTGTGCAGGTCACCAAGACTCTGTATCTAGTCTTTCCTTTAGCGCAGATGGACAGTTTCTTGCATCTGGAAGCTTGGATGGAGTTGTGAAAGTATGGGATATGGCTAAAGGAGAATTAAAATGTACCCTTGAAGGTGCAGATGGAGGCATTGTGGTAATATTTGAGAAGTTAACTTGGTTGTTTATCTTAAAAGTTAATGCTATATTAAGCAGTAAATTGTTCAGTGGGTCAGGTGGCATCCAAAAAGACATTTGGTCTTGGCTGGTTTAGAGAATTCTTTGGTTTGCATGTGGGATCCAGACAGGGCTCCTTATGTGGATGTCTTGTCAGGTCATGCGAGTAGTGTAACCTGTGGCGATTTTACCCCTGATGGTACTTACATTCTATCACAAGGAAAATCTGATGGTTTTTTTCCTTTTGACAAAGAATTTATAGTTTTGTGGAATCAATCGTTATATGTTACTGATTTTCACTTTCTGTAGGTAGAAAAATTTGTACCGGTTCTGATGATGCAACTCTGAGAATTAAGGACCTAGAAACTTCAAAAGTTAATGTAGTTAAAGGTATGCCTTTGAGTTTCTTTTTTTTCTTTTTCCTTGTCTTTATTTTTTCTGGCACATTCTCTTATTTTGCTGTATTCTGTATATGTTAATGTCATGTTTTAAACTTATTTTTTTGGTGCCCACCCTGGTAGATTATCTGGTGCATGGTTTCAAAGTCATTTTTCGAGCAGCTTAACAACCATGAAGTAGTTTTGTCCTAGCATTTTTTTCCTGTTGCACGTAGGAGAGTCTTCAATGATAAGAAGATGAAACACACCAATTGCAAGTACATGATGAACTTATGATAATGCTTCTTTTAGTTGAAGTGAAAATAATTAGGAATAAAAATCATGGCTGGATTTGACAACTGCTTAAAATGTGGCCAACTTCTTTATTTTAGGTTCTAATTAAGTCATAATCATCCGTAGATGCTTAGAGGGCTTGAGCTCCTAGATTATAAAGTATGCTATGTTAGTGGTTTAACAGCTCTTTCTGACAATGAATTGTTCGCCTGTGTAATGTAATTACTTTGGTAAGTGCTGTGTTTTTTGGAAGATGTTGCAAGGACAAAGTTTGAAGCTTTGTCCTATAGCATCATCATCAATCCTCCCCTGCTAAATATACTATTTTTTATTTGCCTAAAATAAATTCATGGCTTATCTTTAGATGTGTAGCAGCGAATTTTGCCTCCTCATTATAGAATAGATAATATGTCAATCTCAGTACAATGCGTATCATCATCTTGCTTAAGATTTTAGTTATATCTGCAATATAGGCTAGTTAATTATTGTCTACAGGATGCTATTGGTACTTGTAGATACTGATAAAAGGCGTACTTGATATTGCAAGGTCATTCTTATCATAGTGAAGGACTTACGTGCTTGACAATCAACTCTGACTCTACTCTTGTGCTTACTGGGTCAACCGATGGTTCTGTTCATGTTGTTAACCTATCAACTGGAAAGGTGCTTTTGCCTTGATTTGTTTCTTTCTTCACCTTTTATTTTATTTTATGCATCCGTTGCTTGTTTCTTCTTCTGCTGGCACAGAAATGCAGTTTCTCTTGGGTAATGAATGATTTAATGATATCTCAAATTGCAGGTTGTTAGTTCGTTGATGGAACATTCAGGTTCAGTCGAGTTTGCTGCTTTTGAACCAAGGTTTATAACAGCTAGAAATCTTACTAAAAAAAGTTATATCTGATATTTTGCCATTTTCCTTTCATAAGTAGAACATCTCTTGCTAAATTATTTATTATGCTCGATAATTCTTGAAGCTCTATTATCGTATGAATCTTTTGTAGCTCTGGAAGGCATAGTTGGAAGGCTGCAACAGGAGGCTTGGATAAGAAGCTTATAATCTGGGATCAGTATTCGTCGCTCCGTTGCATATGTTATCATGAGGTGTGCTGGTTTACTACCTTTTGTCTATCATTTATTTTTATGAATTAGTTAAGGTAAATTTTTCTTCCTTGGGGTTCTGTTCAAGTTGGATGAACAGCCATAAGGAGGCCCGGAACTGGTTAAGTAGGTAGAAATTTATATCTCAAAAGGCAACACTAGCTGCAGCCTCCATACCACTCACGAGTTTCAACACCTATAAATTGATTAACTTTGCTGGACTTATTGTGTTGGCTATAATTGTGTAATGCAAATTCATAAAAGCATTAAGTTGCGTAATAAAGACATAGTTAACTACCTCCATCAAACAGACTTTACAATCCACCACCTACCGGCCATCAGTAGATTCACTGACTATTGCATTTTTTAACTTTCACTTGTGGGCACTTGGTTTTGAAGGATATAACCTGTTAATTCAAGAACGAATAGTACCGGACTGGTTGAAGTTAATAATAAGATTTAAGAGATAACAAGTTTAACTCGTTCCCCTGTGTCTAGTTATTGGTTAAAGTTTTTATTTTTTGTTACTTCTCTTTCACTTCTTCTCGTCCTATTTGGTGCGTGATAGCAGATTACTTAATTCTTTCTCTATAGATTTTTAAGTCTAAGTCCCTCAGCACTAGTGCCACAGAAGAAGTTGAATTCGACTTAACAAACAGTTCAAGCATTATTTGTATTTAATTATTGAAATCGTTTATTTTTCCTAGAAAGAGGTTATACGTGAATTGCAAATTGAGGAAAAAGGCAAAACAGAGTATCTTCATGGTATCTAATTAGGCATTGCTTTTGGGTAATATATATGTAAAGCCTGATTTTGGAGGTGTGGTTGGCTGTGATTGATTGAGCTTAACTAATTTGCATATGCTAGTATCAACTTAATACCTAATACTCTTAGTAACTTAGACTCTGAAAGGAATTAAAAGTAGTGCACCATTATCAAAATCATGGAGAGGTAATCAGTTTATGTGAATATATAATTAAATTGATACAAGTACACTAAAATTAAGACAGATAGGCCTTAAATTATGACCCATTTGTTAATTTCATTTCAATGTTGTGTCGTCCTAATATCAACAATTCTATTTCAGGAAGGTGTGACGTGTTTGCTGTGGCTTTCTAAATATGTAGCCTGTGGTTGTCTTGATGGAAAAATATGGATATGGGATAGTTTGTCGGGGAATTGTGCAAGAATATTCAGTGGACACTCTGATGCCATTCAGTCCATTACTGCATCTTCAAATGGAGATTTTCTCGTCTCCGTTTCACTTGATGGAACCGCTCGGGTCTTTGAGACTGCAGAATTCAAATAAGGTCTCAAGTTTTCAAACTATGTGCTTGTTTTTTATTTTCTTTTTAACTACGCTTCTTATTTCGTATTATATTTAAGTTATATGCTTCAATCATGGTATTGTGTAGAAAAGAGCCGTCTTAGAGCCGAATTTACTTGTTAAAGTGTGTTGGAGTGTTCAATCAAAAAAATTACTCTCTAATTTTATGATTATAGTAGCAACTCCTGATTATTTTAAGGGAGAATATATATATATATATATATATATATATATATATATATATATATATATATATATATCAAGGTTGTAAAAAGCGGTAATCGGATAGGAGACGGTCAGGCACCGACTCGCAATTAATTCGTGATAAATCGTTCTTATACTTTAATATAATATATTTCTAGATATTATTTATAAATATTCAAACCATATATAAAAAAGACTTTTAAACATAGGTATATCTTCAAATATATATCCTAATAACTTAATAAAGTTTAATAATAATAACATCATAATACGTAAATATCCTTATAAATAAAACGCAAATTTTTTGAATTTAAATTTATTCTTGAAAATTCCTGGCATAAAAAATTAGGTTCTTTAACAATAACAAACAGTTAATATAAATAAAATAAAGTATAAACTAATATATTTTTTTTAATTAGAATCCCAATTTTTTTTTAATTCAAATAGTAAAAATTAAAAATTAAGAATTAAAATATATACCAAACATATTTTGATTGATTTTTGCCACTGAAGTTTGGGTTTGACCGCCTAATACAGCTTCACATCGCCTAACATGCGAAAACTCGATTTTTCAAACATTTACACCAAAATTGTAAATGTTTGGTACCGTATCCACTTCGGAGACCGATTTTTTTCAGAACTACAATCTAAGTTCCAATACTGAAAATTTCGGAATCTGAAAATGAGATCCGTTTCCGATTTAATCGGAATTTTTGAAAATTTTCTATTGAAAGAAAAGAGAAACAAAAAATATATTCGAACACACCAGAGAAACAAAAAACCAACGATGGTTTATCTCTCCACGGATTACTATACAGTATACAATCAAAAGCTTCTCCTCTCCAAATTACTCGAATAAATAGACATAGAAAGTAAGAGCAACTCCAATTGCTAAACATCAAAATTGGATTATCAAATACTCATTTGATAATTAAGATAATATTTTAATATCTATTTACAATTTATCTACTCCAACCATGGTTATCTAAATCAATAATCAATTGGAAGTTTTTTAATGGTTTTATTTGTTTTTGCCACGTGTCATTTTTTGATTGGGTGTTTAGGTAGTTATTTTTTTGATAACTCAATTTTCGGGATGTATTTTTACATTCAAAGAGGTAGAATATCAAAATACTTACCCACTTTGATACTCCCATTGGAGTGGAAAATTTTAATTTTGGAATATAAAAAAGGTGGTTTATGGATTTGATAATCCATTTGATACTCCCATTGGAGTTGCTCTAAGAATGCTTAGCTCGAAGATAATGCTAAAAGGAAAAAAATAATGCTAAGGACAAACTAATTCCATAAGAAGAGGAAGAATGCTTAGCTCAAAGCTAATTCCAAAGTAAAGAATGCTTAGCACAAGCTAATTCCATGAGGAGAGGCACAATGGTTAGCTCAAAGCCAATGCCAAAATGAAAGTAATAATGCTTCGCTCGACGAAAGTAAGAATGGACAAGCTAATGCCAAAAGGAAAGAAAGAATGCATACGTCAAAGCGAATGCCAAAAGGAAAGTAAGAATGCTTAGCTCAAAGCTAATGCCATGACGAAATTAGAATGCTTAGAAAAAGCAAATTCCAAATTCCATAAGGAGAGGAAGAATGCGTAGCTCGAAGAGAATGCCAAAAGGAAAGTAAGAATGCTTAGCAAAAGCTAATTTCATAAGGAGAGGAAGAATGGTTAGCTCGAACCTAATGCTAAAAGGAAAGTAAGAATGTTTTGCACAAGCTAATTCCATAAGAAGAGGAATAATACTTAGGTCGAAGCTAATGCCAAAAGGAAAGTAAGAATGCTTACCACAAGCTAATTCTGTAAGGAGAGGGACAAAGCTTAGCTCAAAGCTGATGCCAAGGAAAGTAATAATACTAAGCTCGAAGCTAATGCCAAAAAGAAAATAAGAATGCTTAGTTCGAAGCTAATGCCAAACGTACGTAAAGTACGAATGGTTTGTCCAAGCTAATTCCATAACAAAAAAATAAAAATAAAAATAAAATACAAAATATTAATTAAAATTATAAATAAATAAAAAAGTATAATAAATATATAAATAAATAAAATGCTAATTTCTAAAGAAGAGAAATAATGCTTAGCTCGAAGCTAATGCCAAAAGGAAAGTAAGAATGATTAGCATAAGCAAATTCCATAAGGAGAGGAATAATGCTTACCTCGAAGCTTCCAAAAGGAAAGTGAAAATTCTTTGCACAAGTTAATTCTATAACGAGAGGAATAATGCTTAGCTCGAAGCTAATTCCAAAAGGAAAGTAAGAATGATTAGCACAAGCAAATTCCATAAGGAGAGGAATAATGCTTAGCTCGAAGCTAATGCCAAAAGGAAAGTAAGAATGCCTAGCTCGAAGCTAATGCCAAATCGAAATAAGATACCATAAGCAAATTCCATAAGGAGAAGCATAATGCTTAGGTCGAAGCTAATGTCAAACTGACTTTAAGAATGCTTAGCACAAGCTAATTCCGTAAGAAAAAAAGTATATAATAAAATAAAAATAAATAAATAAATATATAAACTAATTCCACAAGAAGAGGAATATGCATAGCTCGAAGCTAATGCCAAAAGGAAAGTAAGAATAGTTAGCTCGAAGCTAATGCCAAAAGGAAAGTAAGAATGCGTAGCTCGAAGCTAATGCCAAACGGAAAGTAAGAATGCTCAGCACAAGCTAATTCCATATTTAAAAAAAATAAAAATTAAGTAAATAAATAAAAACTAAAAAAAGTAAAAATAAAATAAAATAAATAAAAATAAAAAAATTAATAAATTATAAATAAATAAGTAAATAAATAAATAAATAAATAAATAAAAACTAATTAAATAAGAAGAAGAATAATGCGTAGCATGAAGTCAATGCCCAAACGAAAGTAAGAATGCTTAGCTCGGAGCTAATGCCAAGCGGAAAGTATGAATGCTTGGCACAAGCTAATTCCATAAGAAAATAAAATAAAATAAAAACTAAAAATAAAATAAAAATAAATAAATAAAAATGAAAATAAAAATAATAATAAAATAAGTAAGTAAATAAATCAATCAATCAATAAATAAATAAATAAAACCTAATTCCATAAGAAGATGTATAATGCTTATCTCGAAGCTAATGCAAAAATGAAAGTAGGAATGCTTAGGGCAAGCTATTGCCAAAAGGAAAGTAAGAATTCTTACGTCAAAGATAATGCTAAAATGAAAGTAAGAATGCTTAGCTCAAAGTTAATGCCAAAAGGAAATAAGAATGGTTCGCAAAAGAAAATTCCATACGGAAAGGAACAATGCTTAGCTCGAAGAGAATGGCAAAAAGAAAGTAAGAATGCTTAACAAAAGATAATTCCATAAGGAGAGGAATAATGATTAGCTCAAAGCGAATGCTATAAAAGGAAAGTAAGAATGATTAGCACAAGCTAATTCTATAAGGAGAGGAACAAGGCTTAGCTCAAACCTAATGCCAATAGGAAAGTAATAATACTACGCTTGAAGCTAATTTCGAAAGAAGAGGAATAATGCTTAGCTCGAAGGTAATGCCAAAAGGAAAGTAAGAATACTTAGCATAAGAAAATTCCATAAGAAGAGGGATAATGCTTAGCTCATAGCTTTCAAAAGGAAAGTGAGAACACTTACCACAAGTTAATTCCATAAACAGAGGAATAATGATTAGCTCAAAACTAATGTCAAAAGGAAAGTAAGAATGCTTAGGTCGAAGCTATTGCCAAACGAAAAGTAAGAATGCTTAACACATGCTAATTCCAAATGAAAAAAAATATAAATAAAATTAAAAATTAAAACTAAAAATAAACTCAAACTAAAAATTATAATAAAACAATAAATAAATAAATAAAAACTAATTCTATACGAAGAGGAATAATGCGTAGCTCGAAGCTAATTCCATTTGAGAAAAAAACAAAAATAAATAAATAAAAGTAAAATAATAAGAATAAATAAATAAATCGATAAGTAAATAAGTATATCAATAAATAAAAACTAATTACATAGGAAGATGACTAATGCTTATCTTAAAGCTAATTCCAAAACGAAAGTAAAGAATGCTTAACTCGGAGTTAATGCCAAACGGAAAGTAAGAATGCTCGGCACATGCTAATTCCATAAGTGTTGAATGACCATCTCAACCAAAAGCTTAAGCTGTTAGTGAAATGTATCATTTAATATTAATATCTCCAATACGCCCCCTCAAGTGCAGGCGAATTACATTTGAGGCCTTGCACTTGAAATATTTTTAAATGGGTGGTTGTGGGATTCGAACTCAGGACCTTTCATTTGGCCTGGCTCTGATACCATATTGAATGACCATCTCAACCAAAAGCTTAAGCTGTTAGTGAAATGTATCATTTAATATTAATATCTCCAATAATAAGAAAAAGAAAATTTAACAAAAAACTAAAAATAAAATAAAAATAAATAAATAAAAATAAAAATATTAATAAAATATCTAAATAAATAAAAACTAATTGCATAAGAAGAGGAATAATGCTTAGTTCGAAGCTAATACCAAAATGAAAGCAATAATGCTTACGGCAAAGCTAATCCAAAAGGAAAGAAAGAATGCTTAGCAAAAGCAAATTCCATAAGGAGAGGAACAATGCTTTGCTAGAAGAGAATGCCAAAAGGAAAGTAAGAATGCTTAGTAAAAGCTAATTCCATAAGGAGAGGAAGAATGCTTAGCTCGAAGCTAATGCTGAAAGGAAAGTATGCTTAGCAAAAGTTAATTCCATAAGAAGAGGAATAATGCTTAGCTCGAAGCTAATGCCAAATGGAAAGTAAGAATGCTTACCACAAGCTAATTCTATAAGGAGAGGAACAAAGATTAGCTCAAAGTTAATGACAATAGGAAAGTAATAATACTAAGCTTGAAGCTAATGCCAAAAGGAAAGTAAGAATGCTTAGCTCGAAGCCAATGTCAAACGGAAAGTACGAATGATTAGTCCAAACTAATTCCATAAGAAAAAAATATGAAATATAAAATATAAAATATTAATTAAAATA